CAATTAAAATTGGGGAATACTAATGTTGCTTGAACAAAGAATGAACTTTAAAATTAATAAGTGCGTTATAAAAGTAATAACACTATCACGGTTTTGTATAAAGTAAAATTTTGAATACTAGATATTTTTCCAGATTTTGCGTTTTGCATTCGCTTTATTCAACCCTTGTTGTTACATTAAAATTATACAAATAAATTTTACAAACACATTGCAATTTGTATTTTTGCTATTCTCTTAAAAAAAAAAATAAAGAAAAGGAAAATCATTCTTTTAATTGTAGACTTCAAACTGTTTTTTTTTTGCTTCGCATTTTCTAATTTTGTTGCTGAATGTAACTCAAAAGAAACAAAAAATAAAAACAGTACACAAATTAATTAAATTATTAATTTGTTTTTATTTTTTTTCTATGTCAATCTCTTTTTATTTTGTTAGTTTTGTTTTTTTTGTTTTTGAAACTTTTTCAGCATTATTATAAAACTTGTAAATGACTGTGTTCACGTTTTCTAAAATAATATAATCACATGCAGTCATACAAGATAAAAAACCGCACGCCTTTCCTGGGAAGGCTTGCATAAGATGTCATTCTCATTGTCTTCAACTTGCAGTTGTTGACCATTGTAGTCTAATTGACCACCTTTCTGTTCATCAAATCTCTCTGCTTCAAAAGCTATTTAATTTTTTAGCCAGGTTACAAGAGATGCACAGTTTTTGTAAATACAGTCAATGGAAATAAGCATAACCAAGGTGGAAATAAAAAGCTGAGTGAACACATAAGTGGTACAGTAGATGTAAAACTCTAACTAATTTGATTGGTTAATATAATAGTGAGGATGTCAAGAAGCGAGTTAATGATGGACTTGCTGTTCAATTAATCCCTACTTTGGACATATTATATTGATTTCAAGTGGAAACATGAGGCTTTGAAAAAAATTACATGTCAACTAGTATGTTTTAAAGATACTTCAAAGAAAAATATATAAAATCATCAAGTTAGATCAAATCAAGTTAGATCCTCAAAATTCAAAAATGAAAAATGGGTTTTAATGTCTAATGGTAGCATATGACAATGGTGGTGGTAGTGTCTGTATGAAATAACTATATGCATTTTCAAGATCAGCATGTAAAAAAATACAATCTTTAATATACAACAAGAGCTCTAAATAGATGGCAAACGTCAAACTGGTATTTTGGATGACAACAATTAAAATAAATGTAGCAAAGCTGAAACTTCAGATAGTGAGAATCGTATAGTAACAGAGAAAGACTTTTACGAAACAGGAGCTCATAGAAAAGAGTCATTCTATACATCGATACTTTATATGCACATACCACAGAGTTGGAGTTAGAGTTGTAGTCAAAAAATTTCAACAACTGGTGTCGGAGTCGGAGTCGTTACTTTTTTTTAAGACTCCACACCCCTGCTTTTCGCTATTTTAATTTTAAGTTAAATAGCAATAAAAAATGATTTTTTAAATTACGCAAACAAAACTTAAAAATGACCATTCCGCCAGCGCTTTTTCATGCGCTGGCATTAAATTTCAAACGGAGAAGACTGTAAGGGACGCAGTTGTTAAAAAAGTTGAACAAAGCAAATAATGACATTTCATGATGAAAACACTTGTGGACTGTAGCTTGGTGGAATGTTACGTGGAGCAACATGTCAGCTAACTGAGTTAATATTGTTCTCGATTTTATATTTTAGGATGCGTAAACGTCTATCGAGTAGTGAGGTAAGTTTAAGTTTGATGCATCTTGACTCATAGTGGAAGCGCTTTATTTCGCACTGTGCTTTGGTAGCTCGATGTTGGATGTGCTCTATGGTATTTATATCTTTTTCGAGGTACAGGCACTAGACAGTAACTGCGTTTTTGAGATGTGGGCATATAGGGGGTGTTAAGCTTTTTCTACATTTTGGTGTTTCTGCTGATGAAAATGTGTTTTAAAATTCCCAGGACATTATTGGGCTTGACAGCGGCAATTTTAGCTTGATTCTCAAGCTTTAAGTTGTTGGTAATTTGAATGCCTAGGTCTTTTTCAGATATTGTTGACTCAAGTTCTGTTCTACTGATTTTGCTGTGATCTATTTGAAAAAAAAAAGCTTTAATCCAGTCAAGAATTTTACCATCTTTTTTTTTTTTTTTCCTTTTGTGAGAGGCTTTGTCAAAAGCTTTGGCTAAGAAAAAGCACATCTACAGGAAATTCATGAGATACACTGTAGGTTAGAAAGTCCATGGTCTCGAGCAGATTTATGAAGCAGGCTTTTTTATTAATAAAGCTGTGTTGAAAAAAGTAATACGTTTGTTGGCTACAAGATGCTTCATAATCTTGACTTTTACTACTTTTTCCGCAATTTTGCATGGTAAAGAGGTGATGGAGATTGGGCTGTAATTTGTTGGGTCAAGTCTGGAGCCTTTTTTGAACAGTGGAGTTACATTTTCCAATAACCAGGACATTGTTACTATGCTTTGATCTAATGATGGCATTGAAAGCAGAGTTGTGTTGGTGAACAGAATCATAAGTCAAAATAACAGAGATGAAAGTGCTTGTGCATTTAATAAAGGGTGTCAAAACTGATATGACCATTCAACCATGATTACTGAATGGAACTGATTGTTTAGTATATTGGCATATAATAGAGTACATAGAAGTTATTTGATTGATTGCGGTTGATTGCTGATGGCGTGTTTGCTACTTACATAAATGTAGAGATGCTTCCAATTGCTGAGTTATTTTTGCTGTTGAGGTATTCAAGCTTTTTTTTGAGTTTCGTTAACAAGAGAAGTTCGCTGGTCAGCCAAGACTTCCTGCGTTTGGTCAATTTAGAGGGGGCGCTGAGAAAGAATTGGTGGCAACATATAGTAAAGTTTTTGCAGAAATTTTGGTAGCATTATCAGCATATTGATCTTTAAATAGATTTACCCAATCAACTTGCGAGATTTTCTCACTTAGTTTAATGTAGTTACCTTTCTTATAAATGAATTTCGAGCTTTTAAAAAGGGAAGAGTTTTTTTTTTGGCTGACTGTTGTAGCCATGTCAGAGTGCAGTGGCCTTGTGAGGCACTACCAAGAAGACAGCCAATATTAATATTGTTTATTTGATTGGCTGTTTCATATATTATGAGGTCCAGCATGTTTTTGAATAGACCGTTGGCTTGGATCAAGGTGGGATCAACAACGTGCTGGTGTGGATAAACGTCAAATAGAATTTTAGTAAATTTTGTGCCTAAACTAGTTTCAGCGCCAGTGTTATTGATCAAGTTTTCATACCATTTGACGTCTGAGAAATTGAATCACCGGTGATTATTAAACCATTCTACATAACTTTAAAATATAAATTTTATATTTAAATTGTTCTTCATCTTTTTTTCAACTTGACTTTGAACAGGATATTGTGGAGTTGTTGCTTTATTCACCTTGCAGGGACGAAACCAGGTAAGTGTGCACAAAAAATATTTCTTATTTGTTGTTTTACTTTTACTTTACAAAAAAAAGTTACTTTGCAAAAAAAAATACAGATTTATTTGTATAATTTTAATGTAACAACAAGGGTTGAATTAAGCGAATGCAAAACGCAAAATCTGGAAAAATATCTAGTATTTAAAATTTTAGTTTATACAAAACCATGTTCCTTGTTTTTAAGGGAAGAATCAACTTAAATTTGTTAGCGAAAAAAGAAAAAATAAAACAATAAACCTACGATTACAAAAGTAATAACGCTCTAGTCACTAACTGCATTACAAAAGTAATATCTCTATAATAGTGTTATTACTTTTATAACGCACTTATAACTTTTAAAATTCATTCTTTGTTCAAGCAACATTAGTATTCCCAAATTTTAATTGAAGTAGAAAAATATCTAGAAGAATAAAGTGGATGTTCAAATAATATCAAAACTTAAATAACTTATAAAAACGTGACAATCAACTTTATAAAAACATATTGTATTAAAAGTTTAGATTATGAAAAACAATACTAATGGACCGTAAAAACGCGCATTAATTTTAAAATTGAACAATAAAAAATTTTTATTGGTTGATTTTAAGATTAACGCGTGCTTTAACGTAACGCTTTTCATAATGCTATACTTTTTATAAAGTACTTTTTTATAACGTTGTTTCAGTGATCTGTGAAAGTTCCTGAAATTTTTAACATTTAAATATCCGCTTAATTTTTCTAGATGCTTTTCTACTTTAATAAATGTTTGGAATTAATAATGTTGTTTGAACAGAGAATGAACTTTAAAAGTAATAACTGCTTTATAAATGTAATAACACTATTATAGTTTTATTACTTTTATAATGCAGTTAGTGACTAAAGTGTTATTACTTTTGTAGTTGTAAGTTTATTGTTTTTGATTTGTTTTTTGTAACTTTCTCGCTTGCAAACTTTTAATAATTTGCTCCTTATAAACAAAGTACACAGCTTTGCATGAACTGAAATTTTAAAGACCTAATATTTTACCAGAGTTTGCAAATCGTGATCGTATAATTTAACTCTTGATATAAACTTGTTACATTATAATTGTATTATATATTTTACAAACAGATGACGATACATATTTTCTCTTTTCTCTCTAAAAGCAAAAAAGACATAAAATATGGAAAAGTCAAGTATATATATGAAAGGCTTGTATATATATGTATGTGTGTATATATATATATATATATATATATATATATATATATATATATATATATACACACACACAAAATATATATATATATATATATATTTATATATATGTGTATGTATATATATATATATATATATATATATATTTATATATATATATATATATATATATATATATAAATATATATATAAATATATATATATGTATACATATATGTATACATATATATATATATATATATATATTATATATATATATATATATATATATATATATATATATATATATATACATATATGTATATATATATATATATATATATATATATATATATATATATATATATATATATATATATATATTTTACCTTGCTTATATTCACAGTATTTTTGCCAACTTCATGATCATTTACTTGTAGCAAAATTTTTAATTTGTTTGCTAAATATAATATACAAATATAAATACAAATTAAACTTTTAGTGTACAGGGCCTATTCTAGGAAAAAATTTGGACAGCAGTTCCCCCCTGCCTGTCTTGACGAAATTTATCGGAAAATCAGTGCTTTTTTTTTGAAAAAAAAACTAGATTTAAAATAAAAGGGTCCTCAAATTTTAGTTTGGGCGGCGCCTAAATCAATGCTTAATTACGGTTGACACTGTCGAAAACGGTCTAGAATAACCCCTGGCGTAATTTAGTGTACAAATTTAGTTTTTAATGAAGCTTTTAGTAAAATTTTAGTGAAATTTATTTGCAAAATATTTATGTTTTAGGCACAAAATAAGTAAAATTAAAAATTATTACCTTCAACTGAAGCCATGCTTGGCTACTTGCAACACTTAAATATAAGGCTTACAGTAATATAAATTCATCATATAGAATGCATTTGAATTTTTATTTATGTTGTATAAATATAATACACTTTTGGTTTTTCAGTCCAATATAACATGTTTTGTAAATTTAATCCTAAAATACAAAACTCTACAAAATTACAAAAGCATTAAAATAATAAACATTCAAGTATAAAAATTAACTATAAAAAAATTTATTTGTAATGTTTATTTAATTTTTTAACACAAACTTGATGAAGATGATTATTACATAAAAACAATTTATTTAATATTTATTTAACTTTTTTTATTTAACTTCAACCTAAACTCTAAATAAAAAACCATGTTAAACAAGGTTGAGAGAAACAGGTTGAGTATGAGGGTTAATTTTAATCTTGAACCTTTTAATTGCAAGCTGCAAGTTTCAGTATTCTACTATTAACTTATTACTGCATAGGTAATAAGTTATCTTATTGGTGAGGAAAAATGTCCTATCCTTTTTAATATTGACTGACTTTTATTTGCTCAATATAGGGATATGAAGTATCCCTATATTGAGCTAATAAAAGCCAGTCAATATTAAAATTTGAAAGGCAGTTTCCTAAAAGACAATCAAAATCAAAAAAATTTTGTGTAATCTTTCTTGTGAAGTATCCATATGTCACTGAAAAAATATAAATTCCAAGTTTACCTAATATATTTTTATGAAGAGGTACTATTAGTTACTTAGCTAATTAGGTAATTGTCTAATTATATAATATTTTTACTTAGGCTAACTGTTGTAATTTGATCAAGAAAAATTTTTTAACATTTTCAAAATAAAATAAACATAATTCAGTTAAATTAAAATTATATTTTTAATTTGCCTTAAATTATTCTGTGAAAACTTAAATTGAATTTTCGAATAAACTAAATAATTATTTACAACAATTTTATTAGTAATAATTATGACAAATAATGAACAATAATAAAAACAACAATTACAATCTATAATGTATAACAACAATTTTATTATTATTACTATTATCAGAGCCTTGGCTACCCTATACCCACCAAATAGAGGGTCCTCTATTACACACACACACACACACACACACACACAGATATATATATATATATATATATATATATATATATATATATATATATAAATATATATATATATATATATATATATATATATATATATATATATATATATTAGTACGCGTAAATCCAATCTTAACAAAAATGTTTTCTTTGTCCAAATTTTGTGCCACGCTTTTTCCAGTACTTTTTAGGAGTGGCATGGTATGAACATGTTTTGCTGTGTTATTTTTTTAGAAATTTGTATCAACAGATTTTTTTTGAGTACTGGAACAGTTTAACTTTAATTCTGCATGAAAATCTTTTTTCATAATCTTTGTTTATAATGAATTTGTTGTTCAAAACTTCCTTGTTGTTTATGCATAAGGTATGTATTGAAGGAATGCTAAGACTTTTCTAATATATTCAGATTTCAGCGAAAGATACTTTTCTTGCTACCTGTCGAATTTCATGAAAAAAAGCTCACCCAGACACCCTAACAACTCACTCAAAATAGGTACCTATTTTTGACTTTAGTTCCACTATAGACGTGGGTAGTTGGGAGGGATATCATAATAAACATTTAAACATTAATAATGTTTAAATATATATTATGATATAAAACAATATTGAGTAGTATATACAAAATTTTAAAAATTATTTTAAAAAATCCAAATTTTTAATAAAAAATAAAAAAAAAACTATATTTTGAATTTATAAAAGGGTGTTATAGATGCCTTTTTATCACCCCTCATACGTCTTGTATGTATCCTTATTTTTCTTTTAAAGACTTTTTTTTTAATATCAAGTTTTATAAATTTTGATAAGAATTGACCAAGTTATGACATATAAAGTTAAGACTAAATTTGCTCACTGTTTTTTCAACAAATCTGTATATTGAAAATTTGAAACTTAAAAAGCCATAACTTTTGGTAGAATTGTTTAATTTTAACAATTTCAAATTTATGTCAGTAATCACTAAAATAGTCAAATTTATGTCATTAGTCACTAAAATATTCAAATTTATGTCACTAAATAATAAGTTTTTTCCAAAACTTATGCTTCATTGGTAGGGTTGTCATATCAGGCCTCGGCGGGAAGCGAGGGCTTTAGCTCTTTCTCTAGCCTGCATTCCCCTAAAACAGTTTAAGGGAGCAATTTACAGCTCTCGCAAAAGTTTTTTTTTCCTCTTAAAAGTTTAATTATCATTGCAACTAAAATAAAAAATTAAAGGTCAAAAAAATTTAATTTATCAGATAATAAACACGGTTTTTGCCAAATAAAAATTTTACTTCTAAAGAATTTTTTCACAGCGCAATAAATGACACTTGTCATGTGTATAATATTGTAACATTAACGTTACAAAGATATGTTTGAAACAAGAATAAGTCCAAATTTTGTATTTAATAAACAATTTTTATATAAATAAACAGATAGCTTGTGCAAAAACCAAAAGCTCTCGTAACAAGCAGTTTAAAGGAGCAGCTTGCACAGCTCGCCATGTTTGTTTTAGGAGAGCTTTTCTTCACTCTCGCGCTCATTTTCTCCTTTCTCACGCTCATTTTTTACCAATGCACTCATAATTACCAAATGCAGGCGAGGCCTGCATATGATAATTACTGGAAAAGGGAAAATTTTACCACAATTCGTGATAAACGAAAGGGTAGCCCCCACTATTTAATCTCCATATTCTTATTGAATAAGAATTTTATCAACTATTAAGTTTTTATGGATTAAATATTTTAAAATGGTATATTCAAGCTTGGACAAGAATGGCGTGCAATCATGCGCTATTGCTGACTACGCAAATGATTATTATTTTTCAACAACTTGAACATGACTGTTTAGATGTTTAGAAGATTTTTAAACAATTTAATAATGCACTGAAAAAAAAAACGCTAGCTAAACTAGGAAAAAAATTAAAATAAAATAAAAATGAAAAAAGAAAACAATTCCTTGCAAAAAAGTAAATATCTATGCACTAAAATAAAACTCAAAAAACTCAAACTTAAAGCAAAAATTAATTTTTGTTACGTTTTTAATTGCGTTTAAAATTAATTACTTAAACTTTATCTTTTGAAACGTTTTGTTTAAGTTATGCAAAATGCTTTTACAAATTACTTCTAATAATTGTTTAATGAATGAACAAATTTTATATAATTGATAAAAAGTATTATATTTATTATTTTTATATTGTGTAAATATTTTTTTCTAAAACTTGCACACAAAAAAAAAAAAAAAAAAAAAAAAGCAAAAAATATTTATTTTAACTTATTCATAATTTAGAGTAATTTAAAAAATTATTTTTTAGAAAAACATGAAAAAATAGTTTCTAAAAAATTATTAAATTTAAATTTATCGTAAAAAAAAAATCATGCCTACATCAAATAAATTTAAATATAAAATTATTTGTAAATTTACACAAAATAATTCATTTTGAAACAATCACTATAACTACTTTTTTATTAATTTTTTATTTTTTTATTAATTTTTTATTTTTTAAAGCCTTTTTTTAATTAATTTATTTTTTTATTAATTTTTTATTTTTTAAAGCCTTTGCGTAAAATAAAAACTTTAGAAAAGATCAACAACTTAAAGTTATTTTTCAAAGAATATTTAAATTGATAAAACGTCAAAAACGCTGTGATCATATTGTAAAGAAAAAAATATTATAAGCATGGTCAGTACAGCGTGCGATTGCACGCTGTCCAAACCTGTATATTTTAATACAGAATAAGTTATTTTATATAAATATATACCATTTTAAAAGACTTACAAACAATAAAAACTCTATGATTGTAATCCATGCATTAATTGTTCATTATATAATTAGTCCTAACTAGTCAGTTGTATCTAACTAATCACTTGTATCAGTATCACGTATCACTGTCATCGACTAAACCTTTGCGAGAATAGAGCAACAACTTTAAACAGTGGAGGATAAATCATACCAACGATACTTTTTAGTTTAACCATTTTTTTTCAATTTATTGAAAATATAAAATTATAAATCTTTGTTTAATAACAGATAATTATGAAACTCATGATAGGATTATGATTTGAAATTACAACTTATACATGAAATACTTTTAACAGGCTCTAATGCTAATATATTTATTTCTTTTTTTAGTGTTTTTCTTCACAGTTAGTTAAAAGTTAAAAAATTGGTCATGGCACAATGATTCATTAAAAGAGGTTTTTCCATTTACAAATATGTCTTTATCCTGATCCCGAGTAGAAATACTGCCTAGTCATATCCTAGTATTAAATAAGATTAACATAAAAAAGTTTGTTTATCTTTGTGAGAAACAGAAATATACAATCCAGAAGGGCAAACTTTGCATTCATATATATATATATATATATATATATATATATATATATATATATATATATATATATATATATATATATATATATATATATATATATATATATATATATATATATATATATATATATATATATATATATATATATATATATACTACACACTATAGGTATATATATATATATATATATATATATATATATATATATATATATATATATATATATATATATATATATATATATATATATATATATATACATATATATGTATATGGGAGATTCCATGTGAAAACATCCAGGGCATGCAACCCTAAGTCTCAGATTTTGCTGATTTTTAAACCACTTAAAGATTTTAGTAAATTATGAACATCCTGAAAATTTTATCGTCTAATTTCAATCGGTTCCTAAGATATAGCTATTTTAAGTTTGCCTCCAACCAACAAAAATCCGCCATTTTTAAAAATGGTTTTGGTCCTAGTTTCTGTTATATGTGTGTTGGAAAGCTGAAAATTTATGAAACAACTTAAAATATTTAAAAACAAGCATAACACCTAAAATTTGAACGTTTACCACAATTTTACTGGGGCGAGTCCGATCACAAAAATGCTGATGTAGCTCAATTTTTTTTTTTTTTTTTTAAAGAAGTTGTTCTGAATAGTTAGCTATAGTTACTACAAAGAATTGGAGAGTGGTCTTTTCTAAAACAGAAATAAAAATATGGTCAAATCTACTTAAATTTAT